GCCTCGCCGCCGCACTCCGCCACCGCCTCCAGCGCGCGCTCGCGCTCGCTCTCTGCAACAACACATGCTTTTTTATTTATTGAAAATTATACAAAAAAACGCAACTTATATATGTAAACACATATAGCCCCGCAAAACTATATAATTGGTATGTCCGCGGGTGTACTAATACTAACTATTTTTACCAGACGTGAAGACCATACAACTTTAATTGCTTCCACTTTTAGCTACTTCTAATAAAAGATTTATCATAGTTACTAATATTATAAATGCAAAAAATTAGATAGATGAAGACAAAGGCTAGACACTTTTATTTTTTTTTTAATTCCACGCCGACGGAGTCGCGGACGAAAGATGTTAGTTACATATAGAAAAGTAAGATATTACCGGAGTCGTTTTCCAAGGAGCGCCTGTTGAGGTTCGTGGCGTGCGTGTTGGCATGCGTGCTGGTATGTGTGCTGGCATGTGTGTTAGAGTGCAGACGACGAGCACGCTCCCGAAGTTCTGCGTCACGGCGCTCCTCCTGGCTGTTGGCGCGCAGCCACGACTCGATCTTCTGCCGCCACTCTCTGCAATACAACAATAGAGTTTAGCCAATAGATACCAATTTATATCATATCCATATGAAACCCAATGGACTATGTATAACAAGACATACATAAGTTTACTAATTACTAATGGTTAACTGTAAATAGCAACAGCTGTAAATAACTGTAAATATCGTAGCACAGAGCTTAGCTGGAGTAGTTAAAGGTAATATTATTAAAGTAATGAAAGTCTACTGATATTGAAAATAAAACCAAAAAAGTTACTTTGGTTTGGTGGGCACCGTGGTGCCGGCAGAGGCAGTGGCGGGGTGCGCGGGGTGTGCGGGGTGCGCGGGGTCTGGTGTGGGTGGTGCGGAGGGCGGTGCGGGGGAGGCGGGGGAGGCGGGCGAGGGCGCGCGCTCCCGCTCTCTGTCCGGTATCTCGAGGCGGGCGCGCGGCGTGCTGCGGCGCGACCACGACCGGTCTGAAAAAAACAAAAAAAAGTCAGACATTTGTGTCATGCTTCATTTCTTTCGTATATGGAGCAGGCGCACAACTTTGACTAAACTATATAATGTTGTGCGATTGTCGATTGTTACGTAGAAAATTCAACTGTTTAGTTGCACGACTGAAAATCGAGTAATGCGCACCTCTATATAATCTCATAGGAATCATAGCGAGGCTAAAAAATTGTGCGATAGTTTAGTCCAAGGTGTGGGCACTGTTATTAACAAGTTGTTATTGGAATACGGTACATCATCAATAACCATCGGTTCCAATATTTTAACGAAGTAATCGGATAGTCGTTAGCAGTAAGTCTGTAATAAATTTCGCTGTATACCAAGTGTTTTTTTAAAAGGACTTTCTGAACGTAATCCTAACACGCTCGTAGTGATGTGTATAAGGACTTGTATCGTAGTTACCGAGGCTGCCCCAGGCGGCGCGCTCGCGGGCGTCGCTGGCGGCGGGCGAGGCGTGCCGCAGGAACTCCATGAGGCCGTCCTCGTCCGCGGCGGGGCTGGCGCGGCTGCGGCGCCACAAGCTGCCCGTCGGCGTCACCTCTGCAACCGACGCATCTGATCGTTGGCCACACGTTAGTCACCCACAATCTCATCACTATTCACATTGTTGAATACATTGTATGTATGTAACCAACGAGAAGTGTGGTACTGCTAGAAGGTCCAATAATTTCATCATCTCCCCTATATTATTCTACTTCTATCATATTTTATTCTTCTATCATATATTCTACATATTATTCTACTCTATCATACGTTATCTCAGAAATCACTCCCTTCTTCATTTTTTTTTGTGTGCAGAGCTGGCAAAAGTAACGAAGGCCAAACTATCAGGAGTGTTACCTGGCGAGGGCGAGGGCTCGTGCTGCCTGCGCAGCGAGCGGCGGCCGAGGCCGTTGCGGATGTCCAGCAACAGCGACTCCATCAGCGACTCGCACTCCGACACCGGCGTGCTGCACATGCTGCCCGCTGCAAACACACAACACTTTTTTAACAGACAAGATAGCAACAAAGTTAAATTCGCGGTCGCTCTTGACTGAATAATAAAAAAAATATATATATTAATTTCCCCTTTATGCAGGAGACTGGTGTCCAAATTAGGGTGGTACTCTGTATAATGGATCACCAGGGCGGAGGCCATAAATAAACTGATAACTAAATATTCCAAATTTTACTGGTTAATTAAACATTGAATAATTTTAATAAGAAAGATAGTTAAGTTACTTGTGATGCATTAACTGGTAAAACAGATGTAAGTATGGAGTTTTTAGATGTACTAATCGTTGTAGAAGCATAGTGTGTATACCGTTGCGCGTGCGCTGAGCGTCGCGCTGTGCGTCCCGAGCGCGGCGGCGCGCGGCTGCCTGCTCGTCGTGCGCGCGGCGCCGCGCGTTGTCCGCCACCGCCGCGCGGAACTTGCCGCAGAACGACACGAACGTCTGCGCACACAACGAAAGGTAAATATAGTTAGTATTTACAGTGCGCACACCTGTGTCAAAACTATCACACAACTGTTTAGTGTCTGATTTCTATGAGCTTATATGGAGGTACACTACTCAATGTTTAATTGTGCTAAACAGTTGGATTGGCTGCGAAACAGTTGACAATCGCACAACAGTTGCTCTCAGATAAAAACTGGCTAATTAACTACTTTAAATTTGTGAAGTCGCATACAAATTGCTGTTTTAAATTCCGTACTCACCTTAAAACAATCTTCTAATTTAAATGCAACAGGATCTTCGCAGAAGAATTCTGCAAGTTGCTTCCTCAAGCTCTCTACTTCTTCTAGATCTTTGTTTAGTGCTGCCACTTCTGTTTCTGCAACCTAATTAAACCATAGTGTTTAGTTTATAATATTTTTGTTACATTCCAATGCCGTTTCCGCGAGCTGTTAATAGATGGCGCTATTTGTATTTTGTAACATGCTATAAAATGTATTCTGAGCAAATTACCTAAGTATGGTCTTTTTGAAATTAATCTATCAAAATATCAAGTGAATTGTGCATTCTTATCCCTACGTAGATGTAAAATTGTAGACACAGCGAAAAAGTTAACTTAGATATGGCAAGATACCTGTAAAAAGTCTCCCATCTGCTCCTTGATATCGTGCTGCGAGGAGGGCAGCTGGATGTCGCGCTTCAATCCACCGATCCTCGTCTCCAAGGTCTTGATCTCGTTGCTGAGCTGTTCCACACTTGCCTTGGCCGCTTCTTCCAGCACGTGGATATCATCCGCGAAGTGCACCAACTCTTTGTTCTTTTTCTCTGCTTGCTTTAAAATTAGGATTAAATTAATATAACCTAGTTCTTGATTCAAATCAACATGTATCTAAATTTTGCGATTTTTCGATACTATCTCATCATACTAATATTACAATGCGTTTATATAGATGGATGGATAGATGGATGTTTGTTAGACTTTGTAGCCTGAACGGCTGAACGGATTTCTATGAAATTTGATACAGAGGCAGAGGAAAGTCCGGAAAAACATATATGTCCACTTTTGTTGTTTTTTTTATTCCTCACGGACGCAGTCGCGGACGAAAACTAGTATGTATGTACTTTACTCGACATTCTTTCGGTGTAGGAAAACATCGTGATGCACATATCGGCGAAGAAATTCAAAAGGTATGTGTGAAGTCAACCCGCAGTGCAGCGTGGTTGACTAAGCTCAGATCACCCTAAGGGTAGACTCCGAGCCCCCCAATGAGGTCATATCCTGTGATGAAGTGAGCTGGTGATGACAGTATGATGTGGGTGCTGACCATGGCGAGGTAGTGCATGAGGTTCATGCCGGGGCGGTTGGCGCGGATGTCGGACAGCTTCTGCAGCGAGGCGAGGCGCACCCCCGCCGCGCCCCCCGCGTACCCCCCCGCATTCAGGAAGTTGCCGGCGATTAGCGCCAGGTACAGCACCTCCTGCAACGACATGACACAACGATGTTGATTACATACAAACACATTTAAGAAATATATAAACTAGACATAATAACCAAAATCATTTCACCAGTAATTACTTTAAAAGGTACTGTGTTAGTTGTACAGTTTAGTGCCACCTCATGTCCTTGTTTTGACAAGTTATAAAACATTTTACAAAATTATAATAAGCTCCAGCTTTTGTTATAAAACAATTACTACTATAAACTAAACAGTGATTGTGTGATGCCTATTGGGAATTTAAATACAATTAACCATATTAAGATGTAATTTTGAGAATACAACTCTAATAAATAGCGTTACTAAGGATCATGTTAAAAAAGTCTCAAGTCATGTATCAACTATGCTTACTCTATGGATGTATTTTTTTAATCTCTTTCAATACATACGACTCTCAGTGAACTCTTAAATTGTCACGTACTTGTATAGCTCTGGAAGACATGAGATCGTCTCCAGCAACCAGAATAGCATTGATAGCACTCTCCAAATAGCCAGCAGTAGAAGGCCACTCTTCTTTTAAGAGCATACATTCTATGCGAAGCTTGTAACTGTAACAAAGACATCATAGAAATATAAGTTATTTCATCTCCGTATTTACGAAATAGGATTAAGTAAATACTTACTTTGGTAACTGTATAAGTTGTAGAAGAAATTTCTCGGCGTTGCCTAATTTATTGACGTCACCCGTGAAAGCCTTCAGCATCTCACATTCGTCTATTTCAGGTAAGATTTTCAATAAGCCTCTTAGTTTTTCAGTGCCGATTTCGTCGTGTGATCCTTCACGGATAAGTTGGATTATATCTTCATTTGAACTGAAATAGTAATCTCGTGTTATTATCTCTTTCACCTTTTTTTGTCACACTAATATTATAAAGAGGAAAACTTTGTTGGCTTGTAATGAATAGGTTTAAAAACGACTGGGCCGTTTTTTTAAATTTCTTCACCGTTTGAAAGCTACATTATCAACATAGGATAAATTTTATTTTGGAAAATATTTTTGGCGGGTGGAGCCGCGGGCAACTGCTAGTTACATATAAAATACGCTTAAATATCTTAGGATTCAGGTCCTATACTTAGTGAGTACAGACTAAAACCCTAAATATCGTATTTTACCTTCGGAACTGCTTGAGGAATATGTTGACGTTAAGACTCCTCTTGCCATCCAGGAGTGTGATCTCAGAAGACTCTTTCCTCGGTTTTCTCTCTCCTGAGCTGTCGCAGATGGGGCTGCGACCGAGCCGCGGAGACGACCCTGCGGATCCTGTAGGCTGGATCTGAAATTATTAAGACAATTAATTTCATGTTCCAATTTTCTAGTTTTGATGTCTTTAGCGAGAGTGTATAAATACCTGTTGGCAGAAGAGTCCTTCAATTTCACTCCAATCGAGTTCTGCTTTGGGCGAGTGTTTGTGGCTGGACGCGACTAGAGCCCAAATGTTGTTCTGACCAACTACCTAAGGATAAAAGTCGCATTATATTCTGGTGACAAATACCGTAATCATTACTGAATATCAAAGGACAGGTGAACTATTCGTGTGTTTTGTTTATCTATATATAAAAAAATATTCTTTTACATACTTTGTTGTTAGGAATCTTATTCCAATTGATGGTCTTCATCTTGGTCTTGGGTATAGGTGTCTCCTGCTGCGGCAGACGTTCAAGAGGTACAGGTGGTGGCGCAGGGGGTGCGAGGGGCGTGATACCTGCAGGGGGTGGGGGCGGTGGAGGCCCTCTTAGCGCAAGGGGTGGAGGCGCGGGGGGCGCAGGTGGTGCCGGTGGGGCTATGGGAGCTGCGAGGAGAAATGCATTATTTATGGTAAAACCAAAGTAATGACTCTGGCAAAAGAAAGTTTTGTTTCAGTTGTATTTTTAGTTGCTTTTACCAAAAGGCGGTGCGGGGGGCGCGGGCGGGGCGGGAGCGGGCGGCGGGGGCGGCGGGGAGAGCGCGCGCTGCAGGCTCTGCTTGCGGCCCGCGCTCGATGTATCCCGGTGCTGGCACATGCATCCTACTTTCGCCTGGAAAAGTTATTTCTATCGATATAGATTATATTTTCTCCTTTTTGGTCTATCTGTAGATGTACTAGGAGTCACTCACTTGTACACTGGGAGCTCTCAGCAGCTTGGCAGCGTCCTCCCTGGTTTCTAGCAGCGTGGCGCGATGCACTAACGTCTCCGCCGTGTCCCACACGATGTCGCTCACGGGCTCCTTCGGGTCTATCCGCAGCAGGTGCTGCAGGATGCTCAGGAAAGGAATCTCTTGTGGAGTGTCGGAGACCTGGTTAACAATTATTTATAATTATTTAGAAATTCCATTAACATAGATGAATGTAATGCCTGCGCCTAGAAGTTTCCTACGTTTAGTTTACACCGGAACTTATTTAGGAAGAAACGAGATTCTCTAAATGATTGCGACACAAATGGAGTAGAGTTAAAGAGGATATCCATTTGCACTGATGACGTGACTCTATTAGATGCAAGCTGTTTGTAATGCAGGCGGAAATTGCGGAAAACAACACTACTTAATACAAACATCCTATTAAGAAATACTAGAATTTAACAGTAATGTTCGAAAAGTATGTTATGAAATTGCTCTAGGAGTTAAAGCATTCTAAAAATCTGCAAAAGAGGTAGATATTTTTGAATTTATAAATATTTGAATTAAGCTTACTTGTTTGAGGATAGCGTAGAAGACATCGAGGTGAGAATTGAGATTGATTCCCCCTGGACCCTGTGCCTCGTCGCTCTCCCTCTGCTCTTCGAACACGTCGAGCTGGACCCCCAGGTCCGGGTGACTTCCCGCCTCATGTCTGTATACAGGGTAGCACATGAGCAGCATGTTCCCGACCTACCATAGTTCTACAATACTGAGCTAAATCAACTCTGAGACAATTTAGTAGCAACCAGTGCAGTCATTTAGTAATTGAGATTCGCCCACCGCGTTTAGGGTTGATACACGAATGGAATAATCTCAGTGATTATAATTTGCGAATCGGCAGAACCCTATGATAAACGCAGATAGAAAAGGAAACAAAACTGTTCAACAGTGGTATCCTGGATAACTTTTAGGAGAAAGTATTATAATATCTCAGTAAAATGACGTCCTGAACGCGGCCTTTTTAAGGCGGACAAAGTCAGATGGGATAAACTACCGATTCCAAGGTACAAGTGGAAATCAAATCAGAAAGCAGGCAAGAACAATAAACAAATAATAATAAATATTGAAGGGAATAAGTCTGGGCCATCCTAAGTTATTCTCCACCAAGTATTGAGTAAGAAGTTGAGAGTATATTTCTAACAAAATCGACTCTCTAATTCTATTGCGATCAATACTCTGTGACAACTGTTAAAGTGTATCAAATTGCAATTATAATTGTAAATGTCCAGTTCTTAACATATTTATTAGGTTGCGGAGTCACAGCCGTAGTATATCACAAGCTCGTGTCCTTAATTAGAAGTTAGGACATGAATTCAATGGTGAAAATAACCTGTTCCTAATCAAAATGATCGGCGAAAATATAAATGGTTAAAAAAATCAAGTTATAGTTGGTTAGTCTTTTCAATCCAAAGTTTTAACGGTTACATTTTCAAATAAACTCTTTTAGTCAAACGATTGTATAAAATATGTGTTTACGTAAAACACACGCTTTCTAATATTTTACGGCCTACGCGAAATACAAAAATTAATATTTTTGCATAAACGACAAGGAAACAAAGGTATAACAGTGCAATATTAATAATTCTTTCCGGCGACCAGGCGCCAAGTTTGGCGCGCACGGAGCGCCCACGCCGGCCGCCATCTTTGTCGTTTTAGAACCGTATTCATTGCACACGGCTCGTTTCCGAAAGTAAAAGGCGACCTGTCCATACGATATACGATTATTATATTCATTTTGCATATTTAAATTATTATAATAGGTGACTAAATACAAGAGTTAATTTTCATTAAAGTTGATAGAAAACTTTGAGGTTAGGGGTTAATATATTAGTAGTAGATGAAATCAAGTATTAGGATCTCATTACAAATTCCTTTTGTATTTGCTAAATTAAATTAATAATACGCACAATAATAAGGTAGTTATAAAAATGATAAGACAAAGTTAATAGTATTTTTTCATCATCCTGTCCAGGATCTAATCGATACGTGAACTCCCTTGACAATAACTTATTTATATTTATAACTCCTTGGCTGTTGACCTCCGCGCTCCGTTTTGTGTTTAGGATAAAGTGCAACCGGTTTGAAATGTATCAACGTTTATTTGTTGTAAAAAAGATTGATTCTAATTTAAATTCGCAAACTTATGTGTCTTTTGATACAAAGTATACGAACACTCACCTTAAATTGCTTAATGTTGGTAGCAGCCCAAGACCTGAAATGAATTATTTTAAAACATTACATTTTGAATTTTCTATTGTCTTTTTTAAGGGTCTTATAAATCAAGCGGAATTTCTCTATTGACCGGAAGTTGTTTAATTACCAATGAATTCGTTCCTGACGCGTATCCTGTCAGGCAAGCGAGGTGCGGAGATGATGAGACAGTTGATGAAGGCCACCAACGCGGTCTTGTAGTCGGTAGTGGTAGCATTCTTCAGCTCCTCTACCACAACATTCAGTCTGTACCGATCTCCTTTCAATGTCTATAAGAAAAGGTATAAGGGTTACATTAAAGGACTTTGTACAGGTATAAGATATGGCATATTTGTATAATCAAACCTTGTATCGATCTAGTGTGTCGACAGCTCTAGCGTAACCATCGGCGTTGTAGACACACAGCGCCGACAGAAGCTCAAACACCTGTAAAGAATTAATTTTATGATTGAGAAAAGAGCCATCTAGTTTAGAAATAAACAAACAGCCTGTCGATTTTCAGGATTTTTAAAATAAAGTATGTTTTGTAGTTGCCAGTAATAATAAATGTTAACCTGTTTCTTGACCGGCGCGGCTGGCGAGGTAAGCGCGGCTGCGAGCTTGCCCGCGTACTCCGCATGCTCTACGATGTAGTCCAGCCCGACGCGGCTCTCCATGGCACAGGCCAGCCTCTACACACATAAACACACTGTTAAATTCTACATCGCTGACAAAAATTTTACAACAATAGAGTTGTTGGTTAATTATGCTGCTACTGATCCTACAAATAATATTATCGATGGGGACATAAACCTCAAAGTGTTAAAAATGAATGTGGATGGCTACAAAGGAAGAGGAAAAGCGAAGAAAGTATGGATGGATTGTGTGAAAGAGGATATGCTTAAGAAAGGAGTGGATTCAGATATGACGGCTGATAGAGATGTATGGAAGAGCAGCACATACTGTGCCGACCCTCCATAAGGGATAAGGGCAAGTGGATGATGATGACTGATCCTACAAATAGTTTATTATAGTCTATGTCAATTGAATTTTGCAATAGCTATAAAAATAGTAAAACTGCGGTACATTTTGCATTGACCACAAACACCTCCAAAAAGTCATGGTCACACCATATTTCCTTTTCGTTCTTTACTAAAGCGCTTATCGCTAGCTTTAATTTAATAAATGATTGGTGAACAATTCCGTCATTTTATGTTATTTAAAAATCATTTAAATTTCAAGTTGGTTGAATATTAGTCACTTAAGTAATCGACAAGTATTATTTTCTTGCTAAAATAATTCGCTAGAAACAAAAAGTTCAACACTTTTATCAAATCCAAAACAGGGCAATACACTTATATTATATACCGGTTTTGTTAACAATATGCAAAATACAGGTTTATTATTATATTTTATTGCTTTTCTTATAAATGTATTTTCTGTTTGACTGGGCGCACACCTTTAAAAAACTATCGCACATGAGATTGTCGATTATATCGCAGTCAGATGTTTACCTGCACAACTAAAGATCGAGTAGTGTACCTCCATATTAGCTCATAGGAATCAAAGAGGGCCTAAACAGTTATGCGATAGTTTAGTTTCAGGTGTGCGGGCGCTCTTACAGTATCGTTGCGATTTACGATAGAATGGGATTTGACAGAGAAAAACCTTTTCATTATTAGGTTAGTTGTTTGAATATATTACATTTTCATTTATATTCTTTTAATTAATATACTTAACAATTAATAGATACATAAGGCGAAAGTTTTAACAAATCTTTAACACATAATTTCGTAAGTGCTTGTTCAAATACGACAGATGTCAAATAATGGAATACATTCTTGCTAGAGGTGTCTACTGTTCTACCTATTCTGTCGTGTGTAACTAGCATTACAGGAGTATGGTATTTCTAAAATGTCATCTTAGCCTTTACAGGTCGATGCTGATCTGTCACCGGGCGGCCTCACAACGCACGCGCAATGCAAGCCGCATAGCAAGACAAATATTTACCGCATGGTACAAGTTATAACCTTACAAATTACAATATTTTATAAAACACGTTATCAAATGAACTAACGTTACTACATACCTAAAGTAACTAATGAAAAGTGGTAAATTGACTAAAATTGACATTGTTATGTGTTTTTTCTAAATGTTAACTTATTAAACAAAAGCAGAATGTTTCTGCGGTTTTTGGTTGAAGCTTACGATAAATATCAAAGATGCAAATATCGAATTGAACATTTGTATCTAACCTTGCGTCTCTTTTAACTTGTACCACAGCACTAGGCTGGGCGGGCGCCCACGCATTTGTCTAATGAATGAAGTTAAGCGCTCTACATTGCCAGGATTTGTCAGCTATTTGCGGGATTTTAATCGTTACTTATTTTCCCATTACACGAAAGATTAACTAAGGTTCTCTAAAAATTAAATTCTTTCATAAAACATCCTTTCTTCTTTTATAACATCCTTTTTAATTTACACTAAGAATTTAAATATTTTCAAAGATATGATAACAGCGTCTTTGTTTATACTTACGTTATCTGCTCGATTCTTTTAATTCGACAAGAGCTTCATTGGAAAGGAGACCACGTATATCTTCTTAGAAGGAGATAACCGTAAGTATTATTGAGAAACGCTTGTCTGGATGTTGGATTAAAAAAAAATTGGCTTACGTACCTCTGATTGTAAAGTTATCGGAACCTGTGGTGGGTGTAGATTTCAAAGTTTAGCAATCAAAACGTTTTTTTAGAACTGGGTATTATAATATTTATAATCTATGGTTTTTCCGATTACTTGAGCAGTTTTCTTTTTTATTTGAATGATAACAGATTATAAATCTTGCAGATTCGTATTTTCAAAGATTCGCAATTAAAATTTGACCTCGTACTATTTTATTTGTCCATATACACCGCCACGCAATTATGTAGTTTGTTCTTTCCTATTGTGAGACGAAATTACGAAAACAAAAACAAATGAATGCAAAATGTGCTGGCATTATTATGTTCTTAATTAGGTGCATTATCGATGGCCAGTTATTACGACAAAATTGTAATTTAAATAAACACCAATACTATACTAAATATATTTCTTAAAAATTAAATAACTATTTGTAATTTATGTCATTTGTGTTTTAAAAATGGCGCGCCTAATCTTTTAGCGCCATCTATTTGACGATATTGACTGTGCAGTAACTAAACAAATCGTAATATTTTCATTCTAATTAATAAGTCGAATTTTCGTACCTAATTTACTAATATTATGCTGTTTTTATAGTTTATTTAATGTTTTTCTGCGTAACATAAACTGGTAGGCAAAAACGAAACATAACTACAAAAAACATTTTTTTTATTATTCGTATCGCAATGAACTTTTGTTTTTTACATAATTTAATTGTCTGTATAGATTTACGATAGGTCTCTATATGGTCACATCTTAATTGAGCTGTGATACAGAATTGTTGAAAAAAAAACTAACAAGTGTACTTCGCCCACACGACAATGTTTCGTCGAATCGGTTTGAGGCGCAATATGCCTACGGAGAAAATAATAAATTAACTATTCTGGTTCAGTTACTCTTTTATTAAATTTGGTTGTTTTTTTTTGATTAAAAAAAATATATTTCGATTAAAATTTAAATCAAAGTTACATTTTTGAATACTTTGATTTATAAGTTGTGCACAGATTTGTCAATAACTCTCACTCACATCGACCATGTTCCGTTTTCTATCTGCGTATTTGAAGGATTACTGTTATTTATTAGTCTTGTATGTAAACTAAACATAAAAATACATAGTAATAATTACTATGTTGTAAATATTAACAGATTGGTTAATCCCACGTTGCGACCTCGAGCGTTGTCCGTATTCGATTTACACACTGAGGTTCTATGTTCAAATCCGGACAAGCAGTTAGCTAAGCTCCAACTCACTTCCGCATATATAGTTACTGCTGGATTAAACAAATTATTGTGTCACTTCCTGAAAAGGTCATGTTCCATATTACAGATTAAAAAATATATTTTAAAATTCATCTAAAAACATACTGGAAGTTATTCCATGTTAAGTGTTCACTTCGTCAGTGTATAGAGTTCCCTGCGTCGAGGGTCTGAGCCTACCCTAAGTAAGGGATGACCGTGTCAATCACTAGACTAGGCTTAGTCAAACAGGCCAGTACAGTGCGGTTAACTTGAATTTATACATACTTATTTTGAATATATGTGCCGTGAATGTACATCTTTTTAAATATTTTTTTAAAAGCGGTTATAACACTCTTATTTCAGTTAAAGTGGAAAAATACTTTAACTTGTTGAGCTTTATGTATGAAAACATCGACTTGACCCCTAATTACTTGCAAGTGGCTGCGGGACCTTCCCCCGAGGCCCCCCCTATTTGGTCAGGCCGTCCGGTCCAACTGCCGTCCTTATTCTGCATTACTCGCACTCGAGTGACGGCCGCAATGTGTTTTAGATTCAACTATCGATAAATATAAGTACTTCTCGATTTCACTTTAATAAATCATATACTATTATTTAATAATGTGTTGATAAGTCTGTATTAAAATTATACACACCATAAGAAACACAATGATTTTTTTATTACTAGCTTTCGCCCGCGACTCCTTCGCTGGAAATTAAAAGAAATAATAGCCTAATGTGTATTTTAAGGCTGTCCTCTACATCTATGCCAAATTTCATCAAAATCCGTTCAGCAGATTCAGCTACAAACTCTCATACACATTCATCCACCCATCCATCTATCCAAACTTCCTCATCTAACTATACTAATATTATAAAGAGAAAAGATATGTGTTTTTAATACGTAATCGATTCACGTAAAAACTACTAGGCCGATTTCGAAAATTTTTTTCCATTAGAAAGGTAATTTATCTGTGAGGGTTTTTTAATTTTTTTTCACGCGGGCGAAGTCGCGAGCATCAGCTAGTTTATAAAATTAGTAACAAGATAGATTGTTATATACTTTTTTATTCTATTTTTGGAGACAAAATGTTTTTAACTAAACAGGTTGATATTTCTCATAGTTAGTAATTTATACTCGATGTAAGTTACTTTACTTAACTGAATGCGAAGTTATTATTCCGTGGTTAACCAGTCTCGATAATTTCGTATCTATATTAAGAAGTTAACGTTCACACTTCAAGTTATGTGAAACATGACATTGCATTACTTTGAAAGCTCAATGCAATAAATTCCATAACTTAATTATAGTTTTATTTTGTTAATTTTATTACACACTTCACAAGGTAAAGACGAAAAAGGTAATAAGATAAAATAATTATATTTTGGCAACCTTACTTTATACAAAATGTTACAATTTCAATTTTAAAACTTTTCAGATGTTTGTTGCTTAAATATACGCACAGCAGTGCCGTCAAGTAAATAAGACTTGATTCCCATCTTCATATTCTATTTCAAATAAAAATAATGTGTTTAAAAAAACAAGGAATAAAATAAATTGTTAGCAATACCATTAGAATATTCTATTAGCACATATGTTTAATTTCACGCTTTATTAGGTGAAAGCAAATTAAAAGTACCACACGATCGTGCTCTAAACGCAATACGCCGTGCGTGTGGCACTGATTGTTGGAATTACCTACGCAAAAGTCTATATCGTTTTTCACACCATTATCGTTGTGGAAAGATGATTTTACTTTTGCTTTCTTATTGTCAT